GGGGGGGGGGGGGAGGAGTGTGGGATGGTGAGGACAAGGGGTTCGCGCCACTTGCTCAAGTGTGTGGATGTGGGAGTGAGAGTGTGTGCGAGTGTGTGTGTGTGTGTGTGTGTGTGTGTGTGTGTGTGTGTGTGTGTATGTGTACAGGGGTAATGGGGGTGGCATGGCTGTGGGGAGTGGGACAGGAGCGCACCCACGCCGACCTGGCAGGTGTGCGCTGCCGCCTGGCCTGCACCGACCGTGTTCGTGCAGGACCAGCAGTGTGCACAGCCCCCAGTATGCTTGCTGCAAACTGAACCAGGTGTGAGCCAGCCGTGGCCATTCCTTACCTTCCGCCCTCCACCACGCCCCCGCCAATCCCCCCCCCTCACTGCCTGCAGCGCCGCGGCCCCTACAACCGCGCCCACCTGTGTGTTGGGGTAGTAGCAGCGCCAGTAGGGGCGGATGCTGGTCTGACCCCCCAGGTCCCACACCTGGAACTTGATGTTCTTGTAGGACACCGTCTCAACATTGAACCCAATCGTGGGGATCGTCGACACAACCTCCCCGACCTGCAGCCGGTCTGTCATCGAGGGGGTTCGTGTGCAGGAGGGCGGGCCGTGAGGGAGTGGGGCAGGGGCCAAGAGCCGGGCAAAGACACAAGGCAGCTGGCAGGGGAGGGACGGACCTGGCGCCGCCATGGCTGCGGACGGCGGGGGCGTGTAGCGGGCCGCCGCCGTCCCGTGCGACTGCTAAGCTTCCGGGCGCTGGCGAGTGAGGCGTCGCGCGCTGTGCAACAAGCAGGCTGCGCACCAGCAGCGGCAGCGGCGGCAGCCGCGGCGGCAGCAGAAACAGGGCGCCGTCGAAACCGCCTGCTGCTGCGGCCGCCGTGGTCCCAGCAGGGGGCAAATCGCACTCACACAAGATGGTTGTCTTGCCGGCGTTGTCCAGGCCCAGCACCAGTATCCGCGCCTCCTTTTCCCCAAAGTAACTAAGCATGCGGCTCATCCATATCCCCATCGCGCCTGGCTGTCGCTGCCGCTACCGCCGCTGCCACCGCTACCGCTGCCGCTGCCGCAGGTCCCTCTGCTGTACCGTGGCCTCAGCGGGTGTTAGCGCTTCCCCGCCGTGCCCGCCGGCAAGCCTGGAGGGAGCGAGGGGTGAGGTGGCCCATGCTACCTGGATGTGCGCATGCGCGACACATCGGGGGCCGCAGCAGCACCGCAGAGCAGCTACACCCTCCAATCCGGAAAGTCGTCGGCTGCATGTGCTCCAAGATGTGGCCCGCAAAGAAGAACATGCAGGCGCTCCTTGCATGCAGGACTAACAGCACAGGGATGCGCTGCAGCGTGGGGGGCGCTCCCGAGGCGCCCCGCCCCACATGCTACCGCAAGGCATGAGGACCCAGTGCTCACCTTTTGGATATGCGTCACTTCAATTGAATGCTTCCGCCTGGCTGGTGCGTCCACGGGCCCTTCTATGTACGGGCTCCACACGAGTGCGAACCCGTTGCTGATCCACACCAAACCAAATGCCGTTTACGGGTGAAAAGCTTCAAGGTGCACAGATTTCACAGCTATAGAGCAATAGGCAGACGACAAGGGCGCCACCACAGCTCCAGGCAGAACGAGATCACGATACAAGCTGTTGTTTCCAAGCCTTGTATGTAATTGAATGCGTCGATTATCGCTGCCTTCTTGGTCGTGGTCTCGTCCCGTGATTGACCGCTAACGAACAGGGTGTCTAGCCCAGACCTCTCCACCTTCCTTTGACAGGCCGCGGAAGGCTTGTTTGTGTGGCCTTATCAAAGAAAGGTGGAGCTGTGACACCGTACCCACTCACACCGGGATGCAGGCTTCCTCACTACCTGCTCACTACCGTAGGTGCGGGTGCCTAGTGCCAACAGGCAAGGCTGACCATCGGAGCTCTCCCTCGCGGGCCTGTAGGCAGGGGCCAACCTGCAGCCCGAATTGATTGCCGTAGGATTAAGCCTGTGCCAACCTTAGACAGGTTGGCCTTGCACGATTGCCCCAGGCATGCGCTCAGGCAACCTGGTGCCTCTTTGCCTTCACTCCAGGTTCCAGGCTTTTGCCGCCACTCCCCTGTGCGCAGACTTTTGCCTCAACGGCTGACTCAAAATGCTGAATTTTCATCTGATGTTCCAGGACCCTTGGAGACAGTTGTGGAAGCACGGCCCTCCAAACAAAGGACTCGTTACATGTGCATAACGAGGTATACGAAGCAGCCAGCGTGCCTTGTGCAGGCACGCTGCCACGTTTCTTGAGCCGCGACAGCGGAGGCGACAGCAGAGGAGTTGCGGCCAGGCGGCAGGTTGGCCGGCCAAGGCGTTGGGTTCCAGGAGGGGGGCAGGCACCAGCACGCGCACGACGACACAGGATTGTACATACAATGGGGGTGTGGGAATAACCCCATCTGTCTAAGTGACACCTGACAGGAGGCGGGGGGCAGCTGCCCACTGAGACGGCTGGAGAGAGGAGGTGGTGGAGTAAGCAACAAGGACAGCGACTGATTGGGGGGTCAAAACCGGGTCATGCCAAATCTACCAAGGCAGAAGGGCCCGAGCGACGCACGAATCGCCGCAGGGGATAGAGGCTGGCGGCGCGCAGCGTGCAGCGCGCGGCCGTGCGCGCGCAACGCGCGCCGCACATACCCCGTTTCGATTTGCAAGTGCGCAAAGGGTCAGGCGCCGGGCCTGCGCGTCCCGAGAAGGTACGGGTGTGCGCTGCACGGCCGAGGGGCGGGGTCGGGCATTGCCGCGGGCGCAGGGAGTGCGGAAGCAGACAACGGTGACGGGCGTCCGTCGAGGCAGGCAAACGCATAAATTCGCGGAGCCACCTGAGGGGGCCCACGCCGCGACATCGTATTGTCAGTGCTGGGCGGGCTGGCAGGGATGAAGCGAGCCCGCGGCTGCCTAAAGGCTTGAGAGGGGGGAGCGCGCCTGGACGGCTGCCGAAGGAAGGGGAGTTGCGGGCGCCGGCGGCGGCTGCGGCCGATACGTTGGCTCGTTGCCGCGCGGGGCGGCGCGCGCCTCTTGCGCACGCGATGTGGTGCTTATCTTGTCAACCCGCGAAGCGCCTCAACGCCCGCAAGCGCACGCTTGCACTACTGAATGGCGTGCGGCCGCGCCAGCTGCAAGTCATGCAGCGTGCTGCACGCCGCGCCGGCTCGGCCTGCCCAAACGGGCCGGCATGTCTTGAGGTGGCCGGGAGGAGCCCCAGACGGGGTCCCCCTCGCAGCCGGCGGACGCGCCGCACAGATTCGCTGCCTTGGCGCCGCGGGCCGCGACGGCGGGGGCGCTGCGCTGCGCGCTTAAAGCAGCGCGCCTCGCGGCCCCACCGACCGTGGCGCGCGGCGCCCTGCTTAGTCTGATGATGACGCCGTGAGCGTGGGCCCCATCGCGCCCCGCCGGCGGGCGCAGTCAATTTGCGACGCTGCACCGGCGGCGCCATTTCTTACGCCAAGTCCCTGACAGGCAGCAGCGAGACTCCTCCTGTGCTCTGCTCCACGACCGCTGCAGCCGCCGGGACACCTCGCCTGCCACGAGCCTCCTTCAGGGCGGAGCGCCAGGCGCCCGCGCGCGCCCCGAGCGTGCCGCTGACCCGGCGCGGGCGGGCGACAAGCGTGTTTTCGCGTCAGTGCTGCACGAAGAACCCGACCACCATGAGGGCCACGATGGCCAGGAAGCCGTATGCGATGAACTTCGAGGGCGTGTTAAAGTACTCCGCGCCCAGGCCCGCACTGCTGACAGTCTCCACGCTGCTCAGCCACGCCTGGGGGACAAACGGGGTGCGGGGTCCAGTTGGGTGGGGGTGGGTGGGGGCCGCGTGGGCGGGCAGCAGAGCGCTCGCGGCCGCACGTGGCGCAGGCTTCGCGGCAGCCGGAAGACCGCTGTTGATTTTATAGGCAAACCGTCCTGCCAAATTTCATACATACCAAGTTCCCAGTAACAATGATACAAATACAGGCTCCGCAGCAGCATCGCTCGGGCCCACACCCCCACCTGGTGGAGGGGGTCGAGGTAGTTGTCTGCGGCGCCCTCGCGCAGCGCGCGCATGTACTTCTCAGTCGGCGCCACCTCAACCGGCAGCATGGCCAGGGGGGCCGACACAAAGGACTGCGCTATCACGCGGCGGCCGTCATACGTCTGAACCTGCATTCAGACGAGAGATGGCGTGGGGTCGGCCGGAAGTGAGATTCGGCAGGCAGAGTCGAGGGCAGGCAGATTGGGGGCGGCAGAGTGGGTTCACCGTGCCATGCTTCGACGCCCACCAGGGGCCGCGGTCAGGGCAGCCCTACCATTTGCGTGTTGGCCCCAGAGCTGGGCGCACAGGCAGCACACGCGCTTTGCGGAGAGCCAGACCTTCCCACGCCTGAGCAAACACTCGCACAGCCCCTTTTTCAGGGAGGCCCCACCTCCATGTCCTTCAAGACGTAGCCCCCCTCCCGCTTCTTCAGCTTCTCCATGTCCTCCGCCCTCAGCATGTACAGCACGCCGTGAACGTGCGGGTCAAACGGCGGGTACCGTGGCCGCTCGCGCTGCTCCGGCGCGGCGGGCGAGGCGGCGCCGTCGCCGCTGCCGCTGCTGTTGCTGCTGCTGGCCGCGGCGGGCCGGCCGTCGCCGAGTTTGCTTCGGTGGGTGCCGCTGGGGCTGCTGCCGCTGCTGCTGCTGGGGCTGCTGCTGCCGCTGCTCAGCGGGGGCATGGCCTCGAGAGTGGCGTAGCCTGGTGGCGAGGCGGGCCGAGGCACAGGGTGCAAGAGGGGGTGTCGGCGGCGAGGCGCTCGGCCAGCAAGGCGCCCGCAAGGCGCAGCTGGCGGGTGAATTGGCATGTGTACGCTTTGGAACTCGTTGAGGGTGAAGACGTTGAGGGGCTATGGTGCAGTTGGGCGGAGGGGCGCCCTACGAAGGGCCAGGGACCGCGCGGCTGAGACAGGCCAAAATCCCATGGCCAATACTGCGCCACATCGCCGCGCAGCGCGCGCACGCGCGCTGCCGTGCACCAAAGCGCGCCGAACAATCCCGCACGGCCCACCCCGAGCGCATGCTCACCGCCTCGGTGACGGAAGCGCATGCGAATAGCTGGGTCTGCGACAAAGGCGGGATCACGGTGGACCGGCCGCACGCCGCGCCTCGCGAGTGTGCTGAAGCAGGTGTTGGCCCCATAGGCAAAGTGCCATACGCAGCCCTCATCTGGACTCTGATACTGTCCCGGAGGACTGGGTGCGCTGGGCTCCGCGCTGAGAGACGGCCCGAGAAGGTGTTCTATCACAGACCGGGCCCTTGCCATGGCCAGCGCCTCGCCATCGTCCTGGGTCTGCGAAGCTGGATCCTGCTTAAGGACAGCAGAGCATCGAAGAGGCCGCCGGGGCCTGCTGACGGCGAGAGGCGCCGCGGACCTGCTGGTGCAGCAGCCCCGCCTCCGCAGGCGGGTGGATAGGCCGGCGTGCGTGCTTTGATGCATTTCAAATGACTAAAGAGACAGAACAAAAGTGACGGAGAGGTGCCTGGTGTCTTCAAGGAGAGGCCCGAGAACAGAAATTGCTGTCCGTTTGGATCCGCGACTGCGGGTGCCCAGCTGTTTCGGTGTAAGGGCACGTATGTATGTGCATGTTATGTCGGCTGCCAGTCTCCGCTGCTTGCGCTGACCGCATCGGCGATGCCTCTCACACTACAGGCGCCGACGCGAGCGAGTGCAGCGGGTGAGTGGACCTCGCGCGGGCTACCAAGCGAGTGACCCGGACATCCAGGCTCCATTGCCCCATGTGCAATGCGATGCGCCGCTTTTGCGGCAAGAGCGAGCTCTTGTCGCCACGTGCTGCTCGTGATTGCACGGCCGCGTCTCCCGCCAGGTCCGCCAGCTCAGCTTGGCCATCAACCACCACCAGTGACCGCCCACCCTAGCCGCTTGGTCGGGGAGCGGGCAAACCACTGTACCTCCCAGGCCCTACGAGAGGTGTTATCACAAATGCACGTTATTGCCTGCATCCAGGGGCCCACTTCAGTGGAGCTCACCCTCCCTCCCCCCCCCTGCATGCGAGGCATGGCCCACAAAGGAGCTGGGTCGACTGCGCCCACCGCGTCGTCCCCAGCAGCTGCTTACCAAATCCATTAGCTAGGGCGCGAAGACACAGCTGTTTTCAAGGATTACAGCTCTAGCAAGACCCACTGGGCCCTGGGACAAATCCGTGCACCAATTACAACTGGACACTCCGCGGTCACCGCCGCCCCAGCCCCCCGCCCCGCGCCTCCCCGGGCGCCTGATGGCGCTCGTCCCCGGCCGCCGCCGCCGCCGCCGCACCCGGCGCCGCCAGAAGGTGCTGCAGCTGCCGCCGCCGCAGCTCAGCAAGATGCGGCTTCTCTGCGATTGCGGGCAGCACCCCACCCGCCGCCCCCGGCTCCGGCGCTCCTGGTGGCTGCGGCCGCTGCTGCTGCTGCAGCTGCTGCTGTTGCTGCTGCGGTTGCTGCTGCTCGTTCGCGTGCCGCTGCGCCGCGCCGCCTGCACCGCCATGCCTGCGGACTCCAACTGGCTGCGGGGCGGCCAATAGAGACGCCGGCGGCGCCCCCGCGCCGTACCGCATGGCCGCGGGCTCGCTCTGCGCGTACGATGGCTCTGCGCTGATGGCCGCGGAGGGCGGGCCCGACGCGCTAGCACGCCTAATTCGCAGGAGCCTGGCAACCTGCGCGCGCAGTGGTGTGGGCGGCCGGGGCCGGAGTGATTGGGGTGCATACTGGCGCAGCTGCTGCCCGCTGCAAACGGGGTTAGGTGTGATCCTTGATGTAATCTAATTGTGCCACCATGGGCGCCGGCTCGGGTCGGGCAGCGTCGAGCTCCAGGGGCGGCCGCAGCGACGGCCGTCCTCAAGCCGCGCAAGCGCGCACCTTGTTGCCGGCCGTCGGCGCGTACGCCGCCGCCAGCTGCGCGCCCTTCTCCGCCGCGCCTGGCGCCCCCGCCCCCGCCGGCGGGCCCAGCTGCTGCCCCCACGCGCCGCCGCCGCCGCCGCTTGGCCCGGTGGCGCCGACGCGCTGGAGGCGCGCCTGCCGCAGGGCGGCCAGCGCGGATTCGAGCTGCTGCGGCGCGGGCCCGGGCCCAGCGGGGCCGCCGGGCGCAGAGGGCTGCTTGTAGAGCGACGGCCACGGCTCCGCGGCGGCTGCGAGGCACGGCGGGCGGATTGGATCAGAAGAGGGGACGGCGTGGATTGAGGGGTGCAATCGAGCCCATGCAAGGAGGTCAGGCAAGGAGGTCAGCCAAGGAGGTCAGCCAAGTAGTTTCAGATTATAAAAAGGTGCTAGGAAATGCTGCTGTACTACCTGCAAGTGCGTGTGTTGTTTGCTGGCCACGGACAGTGACCAAGCGCAGGCAGCGGCGTGGGCGCACGGCGGAGCGCATGGCCCGCGCTCACCTTTGCTGCTCGCCCGCCGCCGGCCCAGGTGGGCGCCTGCCATCTGCGCATCGGCTCCGCCGGCCCCGCCGCCCTGCCTTGCCCCCGGCACCCCGATTTCCGAGACGCCCCGCGCCGACCGCGGCCCGCCCGCCGCCGGCCCCGCCTCAGCCCGGCGGGCGCCCATCCCCGCGGCCGCCAGCGGCAGCCGCGACACCCGTGCGCCCCTGGGGTTGCTCCCGCCGGCGCGGCCGGCGGCGCCTCCGTCGCCGCCGTCGCCTCTGCTCGCCACATCGCTCGCTGACCTTTGAGGGCCCCTCCGCCGTCGCTGCCGGCCGCCAGGCTGCTGCCCCTGCTCCGAATGGAGCTGCTGTTGGTGACTAGGGCCGGCCGGCGGCGGCGCATGCAGCGCCGCCGCGCCCGCGCCGCTGTGGTGCCGCTGCAGCTGCGACGCGGCGTAGCTTCCGCCCGGCTTCTCGGTGCCGTCTGCTGCTGCTTGCTGCTGCCGGTGCCCCTGGTGGCCCTGCTGCTGCGCAAACATCCCAGCTGGCGGGCTCGCGCTGCTGTTGTGGTTGCCGCCGCTGGGCACTGCTTGTGGCAGGTGGGGGATTCGGCTGGGGCTCTCCCGTCGCGGCCCCTGCTGTTGCTGCTGCTGTGCGTGCTGCTGCCTGGAAGGCTGGAACCTGAAAGAAGGGCTCGTGGGGCTCCCAGGTGCTGCACCGTTGTTGTATTGCGCCCAAAATTTGTATCTGCGAGGGAAGGCGCCGCATGCAAGGCAGTGGATCAAACCTTCAGCTTCTGACAGCCCCCCACCCTCTGCCCGACCCGCCCAGCTAGATCTTCCAGTGCCTCACAGGCCAAGAAAGTTTGATGTCGTGTCTGGTCGTGGCATACACGGATGTGAGAGGTGTTTGCAGTCCACCGGCAGCCCATGCGCACCTGTACCGGGCCATGCCGCCCGTCAGCGACTGCTTCACCTCGCGCGCAGACGCCGCACCGCCGTCGCCGCTGCTGCCGGCCGCGCTCTCAAGCGCCGATGCCAACTGCGATGCGCCAACGGTGGGGGGCCCCATGGCGCCGCCCTCCAGGTGCAGGACGCCCTGTTGAGAGCATGTATGTATGTATGTATGTATGTATGTATGTATGTATGTATGTATGTATGTATGTATGTATGTATGTATGTATGTATGTATGTATGTATGTATGTATGTATGTATGTATGTATGTATGTATGTATGTATGTATGTATGTATGTATGTATGTATG